TCCTGCCATTGATAAAAGCCATTGAAATACTTAATCAATGATGCTTCATGAATCTTTTAGTAATAACAATTTTTTTTCATGCAGGCCCGACTAGAAGACTTAATTTCATATTAGCAGAAATACATTATTGTTACAGGTTCTAGGTTTTCACATGTGAAATAGGCTCATGTGGTTAAAGTACTTTCTTTTTAATTTCTACATTTATTAATATCAGAATATGATTGCCAGCCATACCTGTTAACATTGAAAACACAAGACCTTATCAGTTAAGAAAGTTAAATTTTATCACAAAGATAGTTTTATCTGTCTAGTAAAAACTGTTATGCTAAAAAAAAATCTAGTATGTACATGTTGCTTTTCTGTACAACCTATGAGCTACACTCTGATTCTCAGCAACCATTGAATTTCAGTTGAACTTTATAGACTTAGTCTATTGATCATTGATGAAAGATCCAATCCTTATACCAGCTCATTTCTGGCACTCTCAAAAATAAACTTAGACCAGTCAGAATGGCTACTACTAAAAAGCCAGAAAATAACAGATGCTAGTGAGATTACAAAGAAAACGTAATGCTTATATACTGTTGGTGGAAGGGTAAATTAATTCAGCCATTGTGAAAAGCAGTGTGGCAATTCCTCAAAGAACTTAAATCAGAATTATCATTTGATCCAACAATCCTATTATTTTGTATATATGCAAAGAAATCTAAATTGTTCCACCATAAAGATAAATGCACATGCGGTCACGCTTGGGTCTGTTGGGGGGAAATAGGGGAGAGTCAGTGGGAGGTGGGGAGTTGGGGAGAGATAGCATGGGGAGAAATGCCAGATACAGGTGATGGGGAGGAAGCGAGCAAATCACACTGCCACGTGTGTGCCTATGCAACAATCTTGCATGTTCTTCACATTTACCCCTAAACCTAAAATGCAATAAAATAAATTTAAAAAAAAACATTAAAAAAAAGATACATGCACATGCATGTTAATTGAAGTACTATTCACAATAGCAAAAGCATGGAATCAACCTAAACGCCCATCAAACCCTAGACTAGATAAAGAAAATGTGGTACATATACACCATGGAATACCAAGCAGCCATAAAAAATAACAAGCATGTTCTTTGCAGCAACAAAGATGAAGCTGGAGGCCATTACCCTGAGCAAACTAACTCAGGAACTGAAAACCAAATATCACACGTTCTCATTCATCAGTGAGAACGCAACAATAAAAGCACATGAACACTAGGAGGGGAACAGCGAGCAAATTCATGACACACAATTTACCCATATAACAAACAGGCACATGTACTCCTGAACCTAAAATAGAAACTAAAAAAATAAAATGAAGTTAATGCATTAGAGAAAATTAAATCATGCACAATGACATGTTTGGAAGCTGGAAGCCTAGGGGAACACAGTGTTATACTTTAGAATGTAAAGATGCATTTTCATCATTTACAATGGAAGACTGTGTCTCCAGGTTTTAGAATGAAAGGGTGTGCCGCCATACTTTAGAATAGAAGGGTGTATCGCCATGATTTAGATTGGAAGGATGCATTTCTACCCTTAATAATTTATCTGCTATTCCCCTTTCACTCAAATCCAATCTCCTTTGAGATTTTGAGTCATGTGATTATTTTTATAAGTTATAGCAAGAAGTAAAATATAAGACCCAGAATAAGACATAATTCCGTACATTGTCACAGAAGGGAAATACAGTTTCTTGTTCAGAACTCATGCTACATAAAATCTCTATGGAGGCAGCCTTAACAAAGGTGAATAGAGTGGGATTCAGCATGAGGCAAGCTGAGCTTGAGTTCTGTCTCTACCAGGAGCTCTGGGTATGAACTCTTTGACTTTTGTGACTTGGAAATATATTTTTACCATAATTAATATTACTTCATTAATAGCAACATTAATACTGTCATGATATATTTACTGCCACGAACAAGAGCTGACCTAGGAGACCAAAATAATTTTAATTTAGTGATTACAGGTCCTTCATAAGCAAGTGGTTTAGCCACCGAAAAGCAAGAGTAAATATTAAGCCTTATGAAACTTTTCATAGATCCCTCCAGGTAAAATCAGTAACAACCTTGAATCTGTGGTCAAATGGAACTGCATCAGTTTGACAGCACATTGAACACATGGTGAGTGCCCAAGCATGTGTATCCAAGTTAATAATACTAGTTATTATGCGGGAAGGAAAGAACATTTTAAATGTAACAGGCAAACTGTGGTAAGGGAGAGAAAATGGCTTCCACCATCGTGTTAGTAAGTAAAGGTTAACAGGTTCCTGCCTGTTATTATTAACTCTGCTACTCATACTTGTGCACTCACCATGTGCTCTCAAACCTTCAAACCACTTAATATACATCCCCATGCTGGAATATGTGTAGCATTGCCTGCATGTGGCAGATAGGAATTGCATTAATTTGTGGTTGAAAACTGGTGGTTTTCTGCAGTATGGTTTTTAAATGTTAATTTTACTTGAATTCAATAGTGGTCCTAACAAAGAGCATACGACATCACATAAACAAATCTGCATTAACCATGCCCCAAATTCAATTGCTTCATGGCCCTGCAATCTCTATGTTACTATTCATAACTGGACCTCTCTCCTGTGCTCCTGATCTGTGTCTGCTGTAGTTTTTAGAGCCCACAGGCCACTCACTGATGTAGATCAGTGGATTCAGTTTCTTTCCTTCCTCCAGTATCTCTTTCCCATCTCAGGTACGGGCGGCGGAAGCTGACCAAGTCTTCACCACCTCCACATACCAGGTACCAGTGCTTCCACAACACATCTCTCGGATGTGCCCACTGGCTCTGACTTTCACTGCCCCTTGACCAACCCCTAGGGCTGCCCGACAGTTTCTCCAGACCTAGCTCAGCAATACCTACCTGTCTCTAAGATGGAACCCAAGCATTCTTTGTCAAACATAAAATGGAAGGTGCCACTCTCTTACAGAATTTTGTGTAAAGTTTCTCAACCCCATGACAAGTTTTATTCCCCTTTGTGTGGAATACAAGCCCTTCAGCACTTGCCCTTCCTCATGTTTCAGCTGGATGTCCCCCGTCCATCGTATGCAGAGTGTGGTACAGCCACTGCTGTGGGGAGGCCATTCTCTCTATTCATCTCACGGTTTGCCTGTCACCTGTTTAGAATATTCTTTCCTTCCTATCTGTTTCCCACCTGCTAATCTCTTTGTACTAACATAATAACTAGTACTATTAACTCTGATACACATACTAGAGCACTCACCATGTGCTCAGTGTGCTGTCAGACCCTCAAACTACCTAATGCACATCCCCACTCTGGAATATGCGTATGATTGCCTGCATTTGACAGATAGGAAAAGGAGGCTCAGACAGATGTTCCTCCTATTTGTCACAACTCATGTGTAGATTTACACACAGGTTGCTGACTACAAAATCCTGTTCATTTTCATTGCACCATGCTGCTTCTTTCAAAAATCCAAAAGGTCGTTTATGACAACGTTACTCTTCTAGGTTCAAAAAGGACTCAAAAGCATCTCTGCTGTGTTCATGTGACAACTTGTTTTGATCATCTCTGTAAATCTCCTCTTGTCCTACTCACAGCTCCATGAGAAAAGGGCTATGGTGGATTTAAATGTCAATCCTTGGTGACAAGCAAAATCCTGCTAAACTTAGGAATCTGAGAATACTGAATGCTTGAATCAGTATACGAGTGGAAATAATAAATATGAGGTTGGATTAGAGAATGGGCTCTGGCTTAGTTTGAACAATTTCAAGGACAAATTTGAGCTCTTTTGTAAAGCAATGAGCTCTTTATCTTTCAAAAAAAAAAAGTATGTGCTGACTACGTAATTTAATAATACGTTAGAGATATTTGGTAGGTTAAAGATGTTGAAAAATCAGACAGGGCCTGCATTAGTTCCTGCTTCCTTGAGTAGCTTTAATTAAACCCTGTACATGTTGCTCTTATTCTTAATAAGAGCCCCTCTTATTCTCTTTTTTCTGTGTTTTGAATTCTGTTCTAGACTAAGGAACTGTAATTATAAATGAAACTTCCAGCTCCAGTAGGTGAGTCAGTATCTTTAGAGCAGGGCTTATCTTGTGGTTTTTATTATTCCTCTTGCCCAACACGCACCGTTGCAAAGTGAATGGTGCCTCCCTGCTTAACTCACAGGTGGATATTCTTATCCACACGACGCGCTAAATTATACAATTTATCACACTATTTAAACACCCTCACTAGTGCACATCTCTTCAGATTTTTCTTTCTGGAACCCAGAAATGTCAATTAGAGAGCTTCAGGTATGCTGTCTCAGAATCAGTCTTCAGTAATTGTCCCTCTAAAGTCAGAATTGGAAACCATTGTGTGTCAGATTTGCAAATGTCTCTGCCACCATGAGTTAGTTTGTTACAATTAATACTTCAAGTGAAAACTGTTAGCATGCTGAACATCCTTCAAGGGGATCATTTACTCTGTAAATGCATCAGTCTAATTTAATCAAATGTCAATGTGAGATAAAGAATGCTATATCTGGGGGCTCTGAGTTTGCATTTAAAATTCCACTTGTATCTACCCCTTACAACATTGATTTGTAGAGTGAAAAAACACAGATTACATCTCTTTGTTTTTGCTTTTGAAATAAGTCAGGTTATAAAGACCTTCAATAGTATGTACTTTTTCTACTCTGTATTGCTTTTCTATAAGTATTTCACTGTGGCATTTCAGAATGATATTGTGAAAGAGAAGAAACTCTTGCTTCTATTGTAAGTATTGCTCTGACAATTGTCACCACTGTAAAAAGTGCGTTTTAAGAATTGGTCTACATTCTCCTCAAGGGCGATCTTCTGGCTCCTTAAGACATTAATGTTAATATTACTGGTGATCCAAGAGCTGCTCCCACTTCCATTTCTTTAGAAAGTCTGGAGGCCGTCATCCAGGCAAACTCTCCTTCTGTCACTTAGACTTTTCTTATTTAAAGGGATCCTTTAAAACACAGGATTGGCCTGCATCCGTTGATAGACCTTGAACAGTTTGCGCCGGGATGCAAAAGAAAGAAATCCCTGCACTTCCTTTCGGTCTTTCTGGCAGCCCAGAGTGAACTGGGGAATATATCTGTAGAAAAGAAGGAAAAAAATAAGGCAGGGTTGACAACTCCACCTCGACATGACTTTCAACATGAAGTCTAGCAAACTTGCACACATGTAGAGACAGCCAGAGAGAGAACAGAGCAGTCACACACATATGTAGGGCAGAGCGCTCGCTGATTGCGGGGGGAGCAAGAGTCTCTACTCCAACATGAAATGAATCAGGAGGGCACCGGCAATGTCGGCCTCTGCTAACTGGTGAGAGGCTGTCTTTCCATCAGAAGCTTCTGATTCCTGTGCTGCCAGGTTCAACCAGGGACCCTTCGAACTATGTTAAAGATACTGCTGGCAGACTCAGGGTTGAGATATACTTTTGGTTAAACAAGCAGAAGATAATATAGTTTTGAGTGTGCAGGTTTTTTTTAAAAGAAAATTCAATGTGGAAAGCACTTATTGAATTAGGAAGCATCATCCATTTTCACTTTTAAATACATAACTGCATTGTCTTTTTAAGAGGGGCCATATTTAGTCAACGGTGGTGTATTTACATATGGCATGATTCATTCTTTTTTACAAATAGATTTTAAAGAATGTGGGGCTTGCTAAAATAAATAAAATAAAGAAAAAATTGAGCTGCAAAAAAGGATAAGTTTGATAGATACACCAAACGTATACTACCAGTTTCCAAACCAGTACCAAAGATTTGGGTAACAGATCACATATTTAACTCTAAATTTCTCAGAAATCAAGGAAAAGAGAGGCAAATAACTGTAAAATATATCAATGCCAAACGTCAGTTTCTCTCTATATAGCTGATTATATAAACATGTTCACTTAAGCAATTTTGATAATCCTTACATGTATATTTTTACATTTATTCAATTATGTAAGTTTCCTCACTTACACTGATGCCTAATGCAGCATCTGAAAACCTAGGATTATAAAACCAGATCTTGAAAATTTACCCTGAAGTATATTTAGAGTTGTAAAGAATCATAATACTAAACTATTCAACTACTCCTTTTTTAAGACATGAAGATTAAAGCTCAAAGAGAAGTTGCAATTTGCCCCAGGTAGGAATCTTGAATCATCTTAAATTTATGGGCATATTTTTACTCTCTGAAAGACTCAGGTAGGACATGAGGAATTTGTTTCAAAATAACATGAATATTAGAGGAATATTTTCATATGTAGATGTACCATTCAAAAAAGCTAGGAAGGAAAAGGAAGGATCTCAGAACATTCTCATCTCGAGATTGCCCACGTACAGGTGGACCTTGGAGAGGTTGCAGGTTCTATTTTCGACCACCATATAAAAGAAAATAGTACAATAAAGGCAGTCACACATATTTTTTTTTTTTTTTGCTTCTCAGTGCATAAAAATTTATGTTTATACAATATTCTTGTCTAAGTTTGCAGGAGCATTATGTCTAATGAAAAGTACATGTTTTAATTTTAAAAATATTTTATTGATAAAAAATGCTGACAATCATCTCAGCCTTGAGCAAGTTGTAATCTTTGTGCTGGTGGGGAGTCTTGCTTTAGTGACCGTGGTGGCAGCTGACTGATCATGGCGGTGGATGCTGACAGTTGAAGTAGCTGTGACAATTTAAAGTAAGACAATAGTGAAATTTGCTTCATTGACTGACTTCCTTTTTCAAAAGATTTCTCTGTAGCATACAAAGCTGTTCAATAGAAGCTTAAACAACAGTAGCATGTCTCTCAAAACTGTAGTCAATTCTCTCAAATGCTGCTACTGCTTTATCAATTAAGTTTGTGTAATATTCTAAGTCATTTGCTTTTATTCAACAATGCTCACAGCATCTTCACCAGGACTAGTTTCCTTCTGAAGAAGGCATTTCCTTTGCTCATTCTTAAGAAGCAACTTCTCATCCCAAGTTTTGTTATAAGATTGCAACAACTCAGTCCCATTTTCAGGATCCACTTCTTATTCCATTTCTCTTGCTATTTCCATCAGATCTGCAGTTACTTTCTCTACTGAAGCCTTGAACCCCTCAAAGTCATCTGTGAGGGTTGAAATCATGTTCTTCCAAACTCCTGTTAGTGCTGATACGCTGACCTCTTCCCACGAATCACAAATGTTCTTAGTGGCACTTAGAGTGGTGAATCCTTTCCAGAATGTTTTCAATTTACTTTGCTTACATCCATCAGAGAAATCACTATTAGTGGCGGTGATAGCCTTATGACATGTTTCTCTCGAATAATAAGACTTGAAAGCAAAAATTAATTGTTAATACATAGGCTGCAGAATCCATGTTGTGTTAGCAAGTATGAAAAAACATTAATCTCCTTGTATATCTTCATCTCCTTGTATATCTTTTTGTTGGTGGAGAGTCTTGCCTTAGTGACAGTGGTGACAGCTGACTGATCATAGTGGTGGTTGACAGAGCTCTTGGGTGACTAGGTGCATTGTCGATAACCAGTAATATTTTGAAAGAAATCTTTTTATATGAGCATTAGGTATCAGCAGTGGACTTAAAATATTCAGCAAACCATGCTGCAAATAGGCATGTTGTCATCCAGGCTTTACTTTTCCATTCACAGAGTGCAGACACAGTAGATCTAGCATAATTCTTAAGGGCCTTAGAATTTTCAGAATGGCAAATACCTACTGACTTCAACTTAAAGTCACTAGCTGCATTAGCCACTAACAAGAGAGACAGCCTGTCTTCTGAAGCCAGGTATTGACTTCTCCTCTTTAGCTATGAATGTCTTAGATGGCATCTTCTTCCAATAGAAGGCTGTTTTGTCTACATCGCAAATCTGTTATTTAGGGTAGTTACCTTCATCAACGGTCTTAGCTAGATCTTTTGGATAACTTGCTGTGGCTTCTTCAACAGCACTTGCTGCTTCATCTTCTATTTTTATGTTATGAAAATAGCTTTTTCCCTTAAACCTCATTAACCAGACTCTGCTGACTTCAAACATTTCTTCTACAGCTTCCTCACCTCTCTAAGACTTCACAGAGTTAAGCGAAATCAGGGACTTGCTCTGTATTAGGCTTTGGCTTAGAAAATGGTGTGGCTGCTTTGGTCTTCTATCCAGATCACTCAAACACTTTCCATATCAGCAGCAAGCTGTTTCCTTTCTAATTGTTCATGTGTTCACTGGAGTAGCACATTTACTTTATTTCAAGAACTTTTTGTTTATGTGCGTGAGTTGGCTAACTGGCACAAGAGGCCTAGTGCTTGGCCTGCCTTGGTTTTCAACATGCTTTCCTAAGCTTGATCATTTTTAGCTTTTGATTTAAAATGAGAGACATGTGACTCTTTGTCTACTTGAACACTTATAGGGTTATTAATTGGCCTAATTTAAATATTACAGCATCTCAGGAAATAGGGAGGCCCAAGAAGAGGAAGAGAAGTGGAGGAATGACAAGTTGGTGGCGCAGTCAGAACGGATTAAGTTCACCATTTTATACAGGCATAGTTCCTGGTGTCCAAAAACAATTAAAATAGTAACATCAAAGGTCTCTGATCCTGATCACAGATCATTATAATGACATAATAATAAAATAGTTTGGAATATTTCTGGAATTACCAAAATGTGACACACAGACACAATGTGAGCACATGCTATTAGAAGAGTGAAACAGACTTATTTGACACAGGGTTGTGACAAACCTTTAATTTGTAAAACAACAACAACAACAACAAAACACTATGTGCAAAGCACAATAAGATGAGGTGTGCATGTATTTACATACAAACAGAAAGCTGCTCTTCCTTCCCCTTTATGCCATGCTGTGGTTCTCCACTGCCATCAGCATCAATATAACTTCAGTCATCTAATACATAATCCAGGATAATCCTGGCAGGTACTGATTGACCATCCAAGAGCCATTTGAGGGAGTGCTCAGGAGCAACTGTGCACCACAGTGGGCTGATTTAAGCAGCATTCATAGGCTTGCCTCACCTTTCCAGCTATTTTCTCCTGAAGTTTTTAGTATTTACAATTTCTCTCAGTAGATTAACCTCTTTGTCTATGATTTCTCCACTAGGCTATGTCAAAATGCAGAGTGCTAGAGGAAACGTAGAGAACTGTCTTGGAGTCCAGTCCATGAAATACTTGAGAAGAATTTTGAACATGGACAACCAATAAGTTACTGAAGTGCAGACAGATCCTTGAAAAATAGATAAAAGGACAGTTGTGTTTTAGAGCTGCAGAGGAAGGAACTAAGGCTTCTGAGATATGGGTCTGATCCCAGGAGAATGAACTCAAGGTGAAGGATAAAAGCAAAAGATGTGGGAACAGTGGAGTGAGAAAAACGAAACTAAAAACAAAAATGGTGTTGCCAGACATGGGGAATCCCTGAAAACAAATATCCACTTTTGATTGTAGCAAGGATGATTCCAGGTGCAGATATTCATGACCAGTGCATTCAATTTCAGCTTGAAAGTTCTGCATAAATGCCTACTACACAAGTGCTAACCCATAAAGTCAGAAGTTACAGACAGTGTGACCACATAGACCCTGAGACACTTGATGGCGGGCTCCCAGGCTTGCCCCGCTGTCCTGGCAGAGCCTAAAGAAAGCCAGCTTCTACTCCTCCACCCTCCAACACTGGGCATCTTCATTCTACATGGACCACTCTTCTGTGGGCACAAATAGAAAGACCTAAACCAGACATGGAAATTCAAACTTTTCACAGCATCCATTAACTTTTTCATTCATTCAATACATGGTTGTCAAGTATGTACTTTGGGCCAGGTCCGGGCATCAGATAGTAAATAAAACTGAAAAACCAGATTCTCTGATGTCTGACCAGCCTCTAGAGGCAAGGCACATGCAAGGAAAGATGTATCAATACTGTCCCAGAGAAGCAGGTGGCCTCGTGGACAATAATATCCATGTGCATGAGTAAGCATATTGGGCAGTAACACACACTCTAAGGCATCTGAGTGTCCCTGAAAGACGGGCAGGAGAGGCTGGGAGGAAGACATTCTGTGTGAAAGTGACTGTGGATATTCCGTGCTGGAGGGAGTATGGGAGCCGGACCTTGATGACAT